TTCCATATCTTCCCCCCCTCCCCTCCTCTACTCTTTCTGTGGGCCTCTCGCACTTACCCTGCCTTCTCAGGCTGTGCCTGTGCTGGAGAAAAGGGCTGTCTTGTCCCAGGGCTGGCTTCTGCTTCCCCAAAGGCCGATCCGAATATTCCTGTGGAGTGCATGACTGATGCTCACCCAGGTCTCTCCATGGCAGGCGCATTGAGGCACAAGGGGCCTTGGCTGACATCTTTGCTTAGCCATGGACCAGCTTGCTGGGTGTGCAGTTTCCCTGCTGTCCCAAGACGGCCGGGGTCATCCCGTGGAGTTTGTTCTCCCTTGTCATGTCTGTGCTCAGAACGGCAGAGTTGGAGAAATCCTGGTAAGCTCAACTCAGGCCTTGCTCCAAGACAGGGACGGGCAGCGGTGGCTGGAAACGGCTGGGCGGCCATCCCCAGAACCCTCGCCAACAGCACCCGTGGTCACCTCCAGCCAGGGAGAACCACCACCTCCTGGGGTTCTCCTATGAGCCTGGGCCTGTCCTCGTACCCATCGCCATCTCCGTTGCCTCCCTCATCTGAATATCTTTTAATTCTTCTGCACCTTTCTTTGAGCACCTGGCTCAATGTGGTCCATGCCCTCTCTCAGGGGCCTGCCTGTGCAGAGGGTGGGGGGTGGGGGCGGGAACCGTAGCTGACCTCTTGCACTAGGTGCGCTTTTACCTGTTAGGTTCATGGCCCCAGGGTTGCTCCTGGCACAACTTTGGGGGGGGGCATTAGAGCCTGCCAACCAGTTTCCTTGCAGACCTCTCTGTACGAGGGAGGAGGTGGTCCGGTGGAGGGTGGGTGGGGTGAAGGCCAAGAGTCTCAAGGGTGGGGGCGGGGGATCCAGGCCACGGCTCCTGCTTCCACGGGCTGGACTGCCCTGTTCATGGCCTCTTAGGCATGCAGATCGTTCATGCTTGAAAGAGGGCTTTTCGGTTGCCACTGCCCCCTTCTCTGCGCTCTTCTGAAAGAGTCCTAGCTCTCAGCGCCTTGGATCCAGGCGGTGAGGACCCCAGAGGGGCCTTCTGAATAGGCGGCCCCATGCCTGCAGGCTCCCTTCTGCGGGAGGCTGCCCAGGGCCTGGACATGAGCGCTCACCCAGGCTGGTGTCTTAAGTGGTGAGGCTGCTAGCATTTCCCTTCTGTCGGCTTTGTTTTTTGCTTGATTCCGGCCTGTCTTGCTTGCTGTACATCCCCAAGATAGGCTGAGCATCAAAGCAAGATAAATCATATTTATTACCCAGCCGAAATCAAGCTTTTCTCCAGGAGCATAAACTGCACGGAGAGCTCCTGGCAGATTCACCCCCCAACCCTACCCCACCCCTTCCTTAATGGAAGTGAGTTCCTCTTCAGCAAAAGGTAGGTTGGTTGGTTTGGGTGACGCTTCCTGGGAAGCCTCGTAGCCACCTAGTAAGAGGCTTTTTTCTCTGCCAGCCCTAATCCATGGGAGAGCGGCAGAGACCGCGGGTGATGAAGGGGCTTAAGGCCGGATCCTTCCCTTCTCCATCGGGGGTGCCACGTCTTTATCTCTCCCACTGAAACCTCCGGAGGACTCTGGGATAAATTTCCTTTTGGATGCCACTGATCTCAGGTCCCCTCTGGATAGGGTTATTTTTAGCTCCTTCTGATGTCATCATCCTGCTTTTCCCTTTTAGCCATTTGAATGGCAAAGAAGCTGCTCTCCTAAAAAACAGCAACTAAAAACCTGGGATGTGGGGAAACGAGGGGGGGGAGGAAAGGGGGGCAGTGGCTTTGCTTCAGGAGGCAGGAGCCCTTGAGAAAACCCTCCCTCCCTTCTGAGCACTGTCTCAAGCACAGGTGTGAGGCGTG